ACATACTCTAGAAATTATGTGGAACCTAATGGGGTGCTTCAGCTGCCACCCTCAGGTCATCAGCACTAGAATTGGTCTGCTCTGCAGCAACTACTGTGTCCCTGTATGGCTTAACAGCTGCCTACTGGTAAGTTAGATGCCAGACTCAATGACACCATGAGGATTATAAGTGTATGTATTAAAACTACTCCAACTTGATGGCTTCCTGTTCTGAGTCATGTAGCACCACCAGCTTTACAAGGCAGGATCACTAGTGAAAGAATATAGAAAAAATATGAACAACTCATTCCTACCAGTGCATGCTGGTCTTCCTCATTTATCAGCCAGAAGCCTCCACTGGCACTTACACAACATCTGTCCAAAAACTTTAGCACTGATTCCCAATGGAAATCCAAATGGGTTGCTGAACGGTTAGGCACAGGCAGACATATAAATGATCCCACAAAAAAGATGCCAGGCTTTGAACTATCACGTCAGCAATGGATAATTCTGAGTAGGATTGACACCCCACACAGCATCTACTGGGATTCTCTGTTTAAATGGGACATAGTAACCTCCCCTAAGTGTAACTGTGGGGTCCCATGTCAAACTGTAGATCACATCATGATTGGCTGTAAGATGAGATATTGGGTCAGTATCTGATTTTTTTAAAAAATATAAATGATTCTGCATTTCAAGGCTTAGATGGCCTAGACCAGGGGTGTCAAACTCAATTTCATTGAGGGCCGCCTTAGGGTTGTGTTTGACCTTGGGGGGGCTGGGATGGGCATGGCCAGGGTGATGTCACTCATGTTGTGGGCACCTGTGGTGGCCTGAGTGTTCTGATGAGAAAACAGGCTCCCAAGCTCCGTTTTTGGTTGCAATGGCTTCCTGCAACACTCTGCCAGTGAAAACGGAGTTTGGGGGGGCCAAAGGCGTCCCTCATGAGCTCTGTTTTCACTGGCAGAGGCACCATGGGCCAGTCCTTTGCTGTTTCCAGGGTGGCACTGCAGGTCAGATCTAAGTATTAGATGGGCTGGATTCGGCCCCCAGGCCTTGAGTTTGACACCCCTGGCCTAGACATTAGTATTTGAACATAGATCTTTTTAACATTTATATCTTACTGTGCTTTACTAATCTAGGTGAAATATTAATATATTTTGCTAATTCATGTATGATATGCCATACACTAAATAAATAAATGCACAAATATCCTGAAATAATGTAACATTCAGGGCAGGGGTAGGATTCAAATTTCTTAACAACTGGTTCTATGGGCATGGCTTAATTTGTGGGTGTGGCTTGGTGATCATGTGACTGGGTGGGTGTGGCTTTTCTGGCTGGGTGTGGCTTGGTGGTCATATGACTGGCTGGGCATGGCTTGGTGGTCATGTGACTGTGTGGGCGTGACCAACTCAATGTCACTCATGTCAAGGGGTGCTTCCCCTGGCTCCTCCCCTCCCAGCCATTCCTTGTCACCCAGCCTCAACTTATCTATAGTTCTGTAAAAATGTTGTTCACCTTTTTTTGACTTGTTTATCTACATACTATAGATGTACTTTCATGGACCACTGAAAGGAGGAAATGGCTCACATGCTTTGCTCAAGAGTGTGATAGGTGAGAGGCTTTTAAGGGGCTGCCAGAAAGAGGAAGGGGGGCAATGTATTTTCCAAAGACCAGAAGGCAAAACAAGAAGCAATGGATGGAAGCTGAACAAAGAGAGAAGCAAACTAAGACTAAGGAGAAACTTCCTGACAGTGAGAACAATTAACCAGTGGAACTGCCTGTCTCCAGAAGTTCTGGGTGCTCCAACACTGGAGGTTTTTAAGAAAAGACTGGACAGCCATTTCTCTGAAATGGTACAGAGTCCCCCCACCCCCCCAAGGTCCCTTCTAAGTGTTATTCTGTTATTCTGACACCTTTCCCAGGACCTCTACTCAGAGTTTGGCATCCTGTTTTCCTGCCTGAGCAGGGGGTTGGACTAGAAGACCTCCAAGGTCCCTTTCAACTCTGTTAAACACACATGTGTATTTATGCTCTGGACTATAGACATGTAAACCCTAAAAATACCTGGGCAAAAGAAAGGCAGTAAAATCACTCTAGGTGTAGGGACTGTAAAATATTAATATATGATAAATAATGGAACAATTAACAATAATAGCACAGAGTTTTCTCTCCGCCCCCGCTTCCTCTCTTTCTTTCTTTCTTTCTTTCTTTCTTTCTTTCTTTCTTTCTTTCT